CTGCTGTTTGGCAAAAACATTTTACAGACAAGGCTGAGAAACCTTTGGGTGGCACCAAGTAGCCAAGTACCCTCTGCAATACATCCCCCTGGGGATGCTGCTCCACAGCTCTGCCTCCTCGTGTCTGCAGCACAAGGGCTTCACTCACCGGGTCTGGGACCAGATCTCCCTATCCAGGATGGCAGCAGTAGTGATGGCTCCGGTCTGGGGGTCGATGTGGTACAGCCCTGCCATGGGCAGGGACTGGTTGATGCCATAAGTCACCTGCCCATTTGCTCCCTGATCCAGATCATCTGCCAGGACCTACAAAGCCACGCGAGGGGTTCAGCCGTGCAGCCATGGAGCCCTGCAAGGGCTCCATGCCCACGGGTGGGCCCAAGGCCAGTCCCACAGCACAGTCCCCACTCCTCCCCCAGCAGAGGGGCTGGGGGCCCAGCTGTCCCTGCCCGTGCCCCAGGGATACCTGGATGACGGGCGAGTCATAGCTCTGGGACTCCCAGATGAAGGCCACGTAGTTCTGCAGCTGGAAGCGTGGCAGGTTGTCGTTCACGTCCTGCAGGTTGAGGTTGATGGCCATGAAGCCAAAGGAAGCTGCTGTCTCTGCCTGCACCACCAGGCGCAGCCGGGGGCTGGCCTCGAAATCCAGGCTACTGGAGTCCTGGACTGAGATGGCACCTGAGAGCAGGGAAACGGCAGGACGGGGTGAGGGATGCACCAGCACGTGCACCCCTCAACTTCTCTGTGGTTCCCTTACACTCAGTCCATCCCTCTGCCCGCCCATCTGCTCACAGACAGAACAAATGCTCCAAGCTCCTCAGAGCCCTCTCCACACTGATAGCCTTCTCACCAGCCCCAGTCAGCTGCCCAGGGTGACAAATCCTGCACCTCATTCAGGACAAGCAGCTTCTGCTTACATCAGAGCATGCAGAGACACCACCCAAGGTATGGCCCATTCCACAAAGAGCTGCTCCACCTCAAGCTCCATGCTGCTCCACCAGCTCACCAAGCTCTGAGCCAAAGTCACCCAACTGCAGCTCTCAGTCTGGGTCAAATCCTGAGGAAGACACTGGAGAAGCTGTCAGCAGTTCTCCTGCTTGGGGTCTGGGGACAGACATCCACTGTTATTCTCCTGGGCTTTGGTAAGGACGAGGCACTGCTGTCCCACCCAGGAAGGTGAAGGGCATCCAAAGAGATGCTGAAATGACTGGCAGCATTCCTCCAGGCACACATCCAACTGTACGGAGGAGGAGCTGTGCTCCTGTGGCTGAGCTGGGAGCTCTGCAGAGCCTCACCCCCTGGAGCCTGCTTCAGCAGCCCCACACGACCACCAGTGAGCTGGTCAGAGCAAATGTAGCCTCAGGCACCAGAGCTGCTCCCTGGCCTTGGACAAGCTCAGCTTCTGCCCTGGAGCTCTGCTGCCAGCTCTGACCAGTAACACAAGCTGGACCCAGGCCATGCATCCAGGGTTGGAAAACACAGATCATGTCCACAAGCCAGGCTGGGAGAAGGGCTCTGTCCTCTCCTCCTGCCACCCAAGGGCTAGAAACTAACTGTGCTCCCTCGCCCCTCTGGCACCACTTGGAGGTCCTGCCTCCAGGGCTGGCTTGGCTCAGAGAACATGCAGGGGGAGCAGTCAGCAGCAGAGCCAGCTTCACCTTCTGAGGGGCTCTCCTGCCTGGGACAGAGGCAGCAGAGCCTGAGGTGCCCCTGTGGGGCTGAGGGTGCCCCTGTGACATTTCCCTGCTCTGCTCTTGTCCACAGCAGGCACTTCAGTATGCAAAGCTCTCACCCAGCTCCTGTGGACACTACCCTGGTGCTCCCTGGGGAGGAGATAAGCCTGGGGATGGCCGAGCAGAGTCACAGACTGGTGACCAGCCTACTGTCACAGCAGGGCTGAAGGGCAGAGGCCTGGTGTAGCCCTGCCTCGTGGCGGGCTGGGGGAAGGAGAGCAGCTCTGTGCCAGCCCCCTCCCCGTGGGGCTCCAGCACACACCTCATGCAGCCCCTTGTCCTGGGAGCTGGGGTTGCAGGGGGCACAAGCAGTGTCAGAAAGTTCTCTGTCAGCCTGGGATCCTGTCCCAGACCAACCATCAAGCAGGAACAGAGAACATGGTTTTAACAAGAAGCTCCACCTTGATGTCCAGGCTCCAAGGAATTACCTTCTCATATCATACAATCATAGAATCATGGAACGGTTCGGGTTGGGTAGGACCTTTAAAGGCCATCTAGTCCAACCCCCTGGAGTGAGCAGGGACATCTCCCACTAAACCTGGCTGCTCAGAGCCCTGTCCAATCTGGCCTTGAATGTTTCCAGGGATGGGGCATCTAACACGGAATCACAGAATCCTAGGGGTTGGAAGGGACCTTGAAAGATCATCTAGTCCAACCCCCCTGCCAGAGCAGGGTCACTTACAGTACATCATACAGGAACGTGTCCAGGCGGGTTTTGAATGTCTCCAGCCAAGGAGACTCCACAACCTCTCTGGGCCACCTGGGCCAGTGTCTCACCACCCTCATTGTAAAAAATTTCTTCCCAAGATCTCATCTATATCTCCCCTCTTTCAGTTTAAAACCAGCACCCCTTGTCCTATCACTACAGGCTCTACTAAAAAGTCTGTCCCCATCTTCCTTACAGAGCCTTTTAAATATTGCAAGGCCCCAATAAGGTCTCCCTGGAGCCTTCTCTTCTCCAGGCTGAACACCCCAACTCTCCCAGCCTGGCTCCAGAGCAGAGCTGCTCCAGCCCTCCCAGCATCTCCGGGGCCTCCTCTGGCCTCTCTCCAACAGCTCTGTGTCCTCCCTGTGCTGGGGACCTCAGAGCTGTTCCCAGCCCTGCAGGGGGGGGTCTCAGCAGAGCAGAGGGGGACAATCCCCTCCTTGTCCTTGCTGGTCACGCTGCTGGTGACAGCCCAGGACACGGGTGGTTTCTGGGCTGCCAGAGGACATCACCAGTTCATGTCCAGGCCTCGTGGCGGGCTGGAGGAAGGAGAGCAGCTCTGTGCCAGCCCCCTCCCCGTGGGGCTCCAGCACACACCTCATGCAGCCCCTTGTCCTGGGAGCTGGGGTTGCAGGGGGCACAAGCAGTGTCAGAAAGTTCTCTGTCAGCCTGGGATCCTGTCCCAGACCAACCATCAAGCAGGAACAGAGAACATGGTTTTAACAAGAAGCTCCACCTTGATGTCCAGGCTCCAAGGAATTACCTTCTCATATCATACAATCATAGAATCATGGAATGGTTCGGGTTGGGTAGGACCTTTAAAGGCCATCTAGTCCAACCCCCTGGAGTGAGCAGGGACATCTCCCACTAAACCTGGCTGCTCAGAGCCCTGTCCAATCTGGCCTTGAATGTTTCCAGGGATGGGGCATCTAACACGGAATCACAGAATCCTAGGGGTTGGAAGGGACCTTGAAAGATCATCTAGTCCAACCCCCCTGCCAGAGCAGGGTCACTTACAGTACATCATACAGGAACGTGTCCAGGCGGGGTTTGAATGTCTCCAGCCAAGGAGACTCCACAACCTCTCTGGGCCACCTGGGCCAGTGTCTCACCACCCTCATTGTAAAAAATTTCTTCCCAAGATCTCATCTATATCTCCCCTCTTTCAGTTTAAAACCAGCACCCCTTGTCCTATCACTACAGGCTCTACTAAAAAGTCTGTCCCCATCTTCCTTACAGAGCCTTTTAAATATTGCAAGGCCCCAATAAGGTCTCCCTGGAGCCTTCTCTTCTCCAGGCTGAACACCCCAACTCTCCCAGCCTGGCTCCAGAGCAGAGCTGCTCCAGCCCTCCCAGCATCTCCGGGGCCTCCTCTGGCCTCTCTCCAACAGCTCTGTGTCCTCCCTGTGCTGGGGACCTCAGAGCTGTTCCCAGCCCTGCAGGGGGGGGTCTCAGCAGAGCAGAGGGGGACAATCCCCTCCTTGTCCTTGCTGGTCACGCTGCTGGTGACAGCCCAGGACACGGGTGGTTTCTGGGCTGCCAGAGGACATCACCAGTTCATGTCCAGCTTTTCACCCACCAGTACCCCCAGTCCTTCTCCACAGGCCTGCTCTGGATTCCTCCAACCCCCAGCCTGTGCTGATACCAGGGGCTGTGATATCCCAGTCTCTTTCCAACGAGCTCACAGCAAAGCCCCCCTCACCCTGTGTCCAGCCAGGCTGTCCCTGACACCAAGGGCTTTGTGGCCTGTCACAGGCTGCCCTGTGAACCCCGTGGTGCAAACAGTGCCTGCTTGGCCCAGTGTCACTGGCCAGCCACCTGCAACTGGCTTCACTGCTCTGCCCTGGTCATTGTCCCCCAGAGCACCATGGGGGGCTGCAGCAGCCAGGACTGCCCTGGGACCACCCTAGTGCACAGCAGAGACCCCCTTAGGATGCCCTCTGGACACAGAGTAGGTCCCCATTTACTGTCACCTTTGGGACTGCACAGCCAGGGATCCAGAGCTGTGCTGCAGCCACAGCAGCTTCATGCTGCCCTGAGCAGCCGTGCAGGGCCCTGGTGCTGAGGCCCCACCATGGGATGTGACTCTTGGCTGGACCCGCCACTCCAGGCAGGGGCTGCACCCAGACTGCTCCTCAGCCCTGGCTGCTGCTAATGCCTTAACTGGGCTTAGCAGTTTTTAGGGAAAGGCCCAGTTAGGAGGGGCCAAAATTGTGCTGGGAGCTGTGCTAACAACCTCTGGACCATGACAGGCTGGTGTCCATATCCCAACACCAGCATGATTTAATTTACTAGTATGGAGGTGTGGACTGTGCCCCTGTGCTTCTGGGGGCTCTGAGCTGTGTGACAGCTGAGCAGGCACTGGCAGAGCACTGGTGGTCTCCCACTGGTGGCCTCCCAGGCGGGCATGGTGCCCTACCTGATCTGGGCTGGATAAGGAAGGTGTTCTTCTCGTTGCCGCTGACGATGCTGTAGGTGATGTGCCCTGAGGAGCCCCCGGTGTGAACCGCCTGGATGCTCACAACAGCAGTGCCTGGAAGGGAAGAAACGGTGGCAGCAGAGGCTGGGGACAGTGTCAGAGGGTTAGGGGGTGGGCAGCACATGCTGTGCCACAGGAACACAGCTCTGCCTGAGGACACTGCTGCCAGAGGGAGCGAGACCTAATGGTGAGTCTGGGCTGAGAGCCAGGACTCATGGGCTTGGCTGTGCCCCTCTGTGGTCTCACTGTTCCCCCTGGAGACCTACCAGGAGCAGCTGGGCACCTGGGACTTGCTACAGTGACCTGAACACCCTGAGGTAGGGTGTTCCAACAGGAACAGGCAGGATCCAGGTAGGATCACCACCCTGAGCAGCCTGGGCACCAGGCAGACCCTGCAGTCCCTTGAGTCAGCCCAAAGCACACTGGGGCTTCCCAGGACCCTGCTTTGAGTTTCCCACAGCTCTGCCAGCCCAGCACCCACCGCCCTCCCGTCCTGCCCCACAGCCCATACCTGGGGCAGCGTTCTCTGGCAGAGCCACCTCACTGGTGCTGCGGGGAAAGCGCAACCCCTGGTAGGGCTCCTCCTGCACCTGGATCACCACCACGCCGGTGGAGGAGAGCGCCGGCTGCCCCAGGTCTGTGGCCAGGATGAAGAGCGTGCGCTGGCGCTGGCTGAGCGAGCCCAGGGGCTGCAGCAGCTGGATCTCCCCGGTGTAGGAGTTGATGGCGAAGGCAGAGCTGGGGGTGGCCAGGCGGTACAGGATGGAGGCGTTGGCACCTGCATCCCTGTCCTCGGCCCTCATGGTGGCCACCACCTGCTTGAGCGGTGTGTGGCGGGACAGGCTGACGGTGAGGGGGCTGTGCAGGAAGGCAGGGATGTGGTCGTTGACGTCCCGCACG